AATGCTTCTGGAAAAAAAAAAAAGGCATGATCCCTTCCAGCGCCATCCATGTTGCTGCAAATTGCATGTGTTTATCTTTTTTGAATGCTGAGTAATATTCGCGCTGGAAGGGATCATACTCAGCGAAATAAGCCAGAAAGAAAAAGAAAAATACCGGATGGTCTCACTCATAGCAGGAATCTAGAAAACTTAAATAAGGGCCCAGGAAAATGAATACCTATAAGAAAGTGAAAATCAAAATCAACAAAAATCTATGAACCAGAGACACTTTTGGGGGGGGTGGGTGGCGGGAGGGGAGGGATTGGGGTCAAAATGGGGGGGTTGAAATTGTATGGGGAATATAAAAATAAAATTTATTATTAAAAAAAAAGGCTCTTCTGCATTTTCCCAATGTAATGAACAAATAAAAACACATAAAGGCTTACAAGTAATATAACCACATAGACCAAAAGTGAAACTAAAAAATAGCAAGGTGCCTGTGAGAACTGTGTGAGAAAGTGGATGCGTCCACATCTTGAGTGTTAAAAGACTGATTAAGCAAATGGTGCCCAAATCTGAGCCTGATAAGGATATATGAAAGGAATGGATTTCTGAAGCAAACTCAGAGCAGTTGCAAGAGATTGGCTCTGAGTGAAGGACTTGCTGGAGGTGACTCGGAGTCTAGCTCGCTGCTCCCTTTGGACTTCACACTGCTCTCCAATGTGAACCTCATCTCACTCCAGGGTTTGGCATACTGCAAACCAGCTTGATATCCTGTGTGACCATCTGGACTCCAGGCCCTCAAGCCTACTTTCACAGCCCAAAGACTTCTATGTCGGTAGAAGATCCAGCTATGACACGTCATGCCTCCCATCTTCAGTCAGAGGTACTTTGGGAACATTGGGTTGGCTTGCCCGTTTGAACTTGAGAATTTGTGTGACAACTATAATAATAAAATCCTCTCTGAGAGCCAACCTCCGACTGAAGCCTATTAATCACATGAGATCTAAGTCTTCAGATTAAAGATTCCTTCTTGAAGAAGGATTTTAATTGTTTTTAAGAATTGAGTGAACTTCTTATCAGATACCTCCTATCCCTGGGTTAGCAAAAGAGCTCTAATCTGGTCTATATAACTTCTTTGGGTAGGTGAAAGTTTATTGCCCATATTTTTTGAGAGTCAGAGAAGAAAAAAGCAAAGGTTTCTTAGAAAGAAAATAGAAAAAATAGAATTGGAAGCATCTTACTACTTTGTTGATCCCCCTAAGAGCAGGATCCCAGCCTCTTTATTGACAGAGATGGGTGGGTCAAACCAAACATTAGATTAGGGAGGGTGAGTATACACCTGACTACCACCCAAGGGCTCTAGGCTCTGATCTTATTAACAAGATGTTCCACTGATTAGAACCTGGGGCGCAAGGCACATCAGTATTGCCCCAGGGCAATCATGCATCCCGTCTTGTAAGTTACATCCACAGTTTGGCCTTCCTCTCTGCTGGCACAAAAGGAAATGGGACATGCTTTAAGAACTTGCTTGCCTGTTGTGGGTTTGTTACAAGACAGCCCCGATATAAAAAGGGTTGCCTGACTGTGGGTCCTCACCCGCGCGCTTGAAAGGGGCTTAATACTCCACTGCAGACACACACAAAAGGTTAATAAAAGATTTATTCACAAGGGAAGGGGAAATGAGGACACGTATAACTCAGGGAGAAAAGTGGGAGATAAAGTCTTAAATGCGTCCTACTCAACCCACCGATCTGGAATCCCAATGGCACTCTGAGAGCTGGCCGCGAGCCACCAGCCATGAAGCCAGGAGGCGAGCGAGAGAGAGGCCCAAAGCCCACGTGGCTGGTTTTTATACCAAACCTGGCTGCTTAATTCCACCCTCAGGGCCCAGCAAACTTCCCTTTGGTGGTGATGGGATTTGTTTTTCCCAATGTCTTGATGGCTTTGGTCTGGAGTGGGGGTGGAGTCCACAAAGCTCAGGACATCCTTTCCCCCTAACAGATTGGGCAAGAAAAATAACTGGGTTCTAGTCACCTAACAAACATTAATAAGGTGTTTCTTATTAAAAGTCACCCTTGATTGTCGACTGAATTATGATACATCTCATTTCAACGAAGTCAAATATGAATTTTAAAAGCCATATGAAAAGTACTGGTGACATATTTAAAATAGGCAAGCCAAAATATATTATAGTGTGGTGTCTACTCTGTATTTTAGTAATGTGATTATTTTGTTATTAAATGTATTTAATTGATTTTTAATATGTCTCACAGAGGAGTTATTCATGGCACATGGCCAGTGTTGTCTGTCGATGCAGGAGGCTGGACTGCAAAAGCCCACCAGGTAGCCCACCTGGGACTAGGAATGCGGAAGCCCACCTAGGCAATTCAGACAATAAGCCTCTCCCGCCCTACTAACCCCCACTCCCCTGTGCTAACCCAGTTTCCCACCTGACCTCTCCACAACCTATAATAAAATCCTGTCTCCCCCTGGCAACGTGCTCAACTTCACCGACCCCCACCTTGGGTCTGTGAATCCTGCGGGGTGGGGGGGCAATACATTTTCCTCTCCTTTATGACAAATTTAGTCTGGCTCTCCTTTTCTTTAACGCCCCGAAACTTTCCGTCTACCCATACACAGCAAGCAGCCCCTTGGCTTTCTCTGGCAGGCCAAAAAAGCCAAGTCGCCATCAGCTCCAGGGAGTTTTCCTTATGGAAAACATCTAAAAATATCAGTGATCTGCTGCATGTATTTAGTGTGTTTCAGATACTTGTTGATTGGCATCAATGATATGAGTTTGAATGATATGTGTGCCCAGGAAAGCGCCAGTGAATATGCCTGCAATTGGTAGGAAAACAGCACATTCATTTTGAGATGAGTCAGAGAACTCGGGGAGTTTCCAAAATTAAATTGGTATCCAGGGTACACAGGATAGGCTGTAAGAGTGGTGGGTAGCTAGTCGGGACATGGTTACAATAATGCAAGCAAATGCTTGTGGGAATGACCATCTTGACAGATCTGGTTTGGGAAGTGCCAGTAAGTCTGATGATCACAACAAAGTAATGGTCAAAGACTAGGGTTGAGTTTAAAGTCTCTAACAGGAAGAGGAGCCATTTAGAAGATAAGATCATGTATCAGTTTTGTAATGTTCTTGCATTCTTGTTTCAGAAGAGGCATGTCTGGTGGCACTGGTAACATGGCTGTATAAACATCTATTATGAGTAAAGCATAGTGAACAGTCGTTGCAGAGGGGTAAGTGGCCCCATGTAGTATAATTGCAATCAGTTATATTGTCCTCCCCTGTCCGGGAATCCCATTCATGGGTTGAGTTGACCCCTGAACCTATAAAGCTTATTGTTTATGGCTCTGTGTTGGCCTCTACCTCTTCCAGAATATAAATAGAGCACCATGCTGCTACGTACCCTGCTTGTAAATTTTTATGCCATATTTGTAAAACTGCACAATGTACAAGCATTGCAGTATCTTCTAAGTATAAAAATTTTGAACAGATTAGGTTTTTGAAATGGTGAGATTTCATTATAAGCTGTATGAGTTTGGGGAGACCCTGTTCTTCTTGGGCTCAACCTCATTTGTAAGAAGGGAGAAATGATTGGGGGAGGGGCAGAACTAAGGCCAGTAAATCGAGTAATTCGTAGCTTGTAAAGAAAATCTAAGTGAGCACTAAAAAATGAAGGAAAATTGGATTTCCTTTGCTTTCTCACTAAACACAAAGCTGGTATTTCACCACCCCTCTTCCATAATATGCTAGAAGTCTAATAATATGGAAATTGTATCTGTGAATAGAAAAATGGGCTTTAACCTTTGTTCACTAACGAAGCAAAAATCTTATAAAAAGACAAGTTTTGCCATTTTAACGATATCAAACATACCTCATTTCCCACTAAATTAGGTTATTCCTCAAAATGATATTGTTAGGGGGAAAAGGATGTCCTAAAGCTAATTCCATACAGGCTTTGTGGACTCCACCCCCACCCCAGGCCAAAGCCAAAGACACTGGGAACTCCAAATCCCATCACCACCAAAGGGAAGGTGGCTGGGACCTGAAGGTGGGGTTAAGCAGCCAGGTTGGTATAAAGCCAGACACGTGGGCTTTGGAGGGGTCCCCCATTTTGGCTCTCCACCAGCTCGCAGCGTCCGGCCAGCTCTGAGAGTGCCTTTGGGTTTCCAGGTCGGCAGATCGGGTAGGACGCATTAAAGACTTTATTTCCTTATTTTCTCCCTGAGTTGTACATTTTCCTTATTTCCTTTTCCCTTGTAAATAAACCTTTTATTAACCTTTTGTGTATGCCTGTAGTGGAGTATTAATAAGTCCCTTTTAAAGCACGTGGGTGAGGACCCACAGCCAGGCAACCAGTTCAATATCGGGGCTGCCCTATAACAATACCTTCTATTGTTCACAGCTCACTTCCATAATTACTTGCATAACTGCCTTCACCCATAGCTCTTCTGCTGTTTCATCTGGGAAATCACTTAATTTTACTCAGAGGAAAAGCCCATGATGGGCTAATTGTGCAGATGACCTTAACTCTTCCTCATATGGGAACTGTATGATTTCATGGGGTGCACAGTGTGTCACTCAGTCTTTGTGACAGCAAACTTGTGCCAATTATAAAAGGCAATTTAAAATCTTATCAAATCACGTTAAACAAAACACCATAAATACACATGGCCCAAAGCAATGGAAACAGAAAATCTCAACTCCAACCATGGCAGAAATGAAGATGAACCATGTCTATAGTTTTCTCTTTATGGGGAAGCATTGGTGGTTATCACAGGAATGCTGTACTGTTTCTCTGTTTACAAGCAGTTCCTCAGTGTTTAAGATGTATTACTGGGGGGGCCTCCCCTGGTGGTGCAGCGGTTGAGCACTGGGCTGCGGGGCTACCCACAGCCTCTGCAGCGCTGGTTCATTCCCCAGCCGCCAGTGAGGGTCCCACCAAAAAAAAAAAAAAAAAAAAAAGATGTATTACTGGGTGATGGAAATAATAAAAGTTATCAATGTTGACATCTCCAATTAGAGGCCCCAACCTTCTACAGTGTGAGCCTCAAGGGGGCTCTGAGACCTGGGACGCTGATTGAGAAGGACCCACCAGACGGGAAACTACTGTCAGCTACAAGCAGTGATTCTTTATTTTTCCCAGAATGGTAATACAGGAATTGTGAACAAGGACGTCTGCATTTTATCATAAGTCAGAGAAAACAAAACAACCGTCCCTCACACACCATGTATGTGAGCCCAAGCATGCCATGTACATGAGCCCTTGGGCTTATCTGGACATGCCTATCCTTGTGGATATCTGCTGCACTAAGTTAAGCCCAAGGAGGTTTCCAAGGATGGCACAGTACAGGGCGTCCCTCCCAGTTTGCCGTACTGGCATATGTGAGTCTGCTCAGCGTTTCTGTCAGCCCTTTTCCTTGCCATTCTCAGGTCACCTCTTGAACATCCTTATGCAACATACAGGGAACATACTTTCATCCTTACTTTACATGTAATTGTTAACTTTCCTTCAAAGCTCTTATTTCCATCTTATAAATAAAACAAAATAGTGCCATTGGTTATTTTCTCTTTTCCCATGAAAATATACAGACCAGGGGGTCTCCCCGGTGGTGCAGCGGTTGAGCACTGGGTTGCGAAGCTGCCCGCAGCCTCTGCAGCACCAGTTCGATCCCCGGCCACTGAGCCAGAGTCCCACATGGCACGCAGACCTCTCCTGCCGCCCGCTGCTCCCCTCAGCAGTGTATTTCATCAGTCTGCCTGTTCTGTTCCCTGCTCTGGCTCTGGTGAATTCTCTCACCCTCCCCGCGCTTCTGACTGTACCCATTGCTTGTATAAATAAATAAATAAATCTTTAAAAAAAAAAAAAAATACAGACCAGGACTAGAGGAACTTATTTCTTACACTTCTATATACAGAGTATAATGCCTTGATTATTTGTGCTAAATTGTATAAGTTCTGAATGTGCACAGCCTGATAGAGGAAGGATGCTGAAAAATTAGCTCAAGAGCATAATGTCTGTGCAAGAGTAGCTTGCTTTCAAGAGGGACCCTATTTTTATCCCTTGGTAGTTTGTATTCTCTGACAATTCACCATATACTATAAGAAATTCTCTGTTCAGATAATAATCACCATGCTTGCTGGAGACAGTATCTAATACATAGAAACATTCTTTCCTTGAATACTAATCCCATTACCTAACATAAACCCAAATCTATCACCTTTTGAAATTTGTCTTGCTGATAAAACCCATTACATATGAGGTCTGCAATCATTGTAATCATGATTCATCACACCCCTTTGACTATTGGTATGATCCTGGTAATAAGGCAAGACCATGATTCAAATTTTTAATTAAGAATGAATGAGAAATTAGTTTCATGACAAAAATTATGATATAAAAGAATAAAAAATAAATTTGCCTGAGGGAAAATACCATATGTATCAATATTTTGTAACAGTGGCTCAAAAAGTATGACCAATTTGACAGTTACAAAGTTGATCTAAAGTCTACAATTACAGTGGTCTAATATATCCTATCAGGAAGAGGAATAGATAATGGTGCTTTGGTGGTAGGTATGGTGTGATAAATCTCACAGGAAGGACCAGGTCAGAGTAGTCACTACACATGAACTAGATGAAAATTTCCCACAAGGCTCTTCTTAGTAACCCAGAATCAGGAACACACAGTTATAGTGTATTTAAGATTTTTACTGTACAAATCAAATCTTACACAAATACATGAGACAAGGAGAACAGAGCTTCAGAGAATATTCTCCATCATAACAGCTCTGAGAAAATGGAAATCACGCAGTATGTATTCTTGGCTGGCAGGGTGAAGAATCAGAAAAATGGGCTGAAAGCAGGCATGTGAAATTCTGGTATATCCATCCTTTTCTGTACTGTGGTTCCCAAAATGAAGGTATTCTTTGCTTGTACCTTCAGAATCAAGTGATGTTATTGGTAAATTTGAATTTGGGACATGTTCTAGAAAATATATATCCCAACATTACCCACGCTGCAATAACACATTCTGGGGAAGGGGGCATCTCCAATCCTACAATTTATTATCTCTTTAGAGTTCTTAGTGTAAAGTCTATTATCCAAGTCACAGTTTGAAAGAGCCAGCAAGATTAATGGGAAAAGGTGTAAATTATCATTCAAGTGAGAGTATATTCTGACAAACTTTGCATACTTATAAATTTCTGTCAACTATTCACTAGCAAGGTAAATAGAATAAGGCTCTTTTTGATTAAAGGGGGTTTTCTAATATGTAAGGACTAGTATTTATAACAGACAAGGAATAGTCAGTAGTGACCATGAAGCCTGTAGGAAAATCGCAATGAACACTGAAGTGTCATTATACAGTGGTTACTGAACTTATAGAACAATTTAAAGATTATACAAAAATCAACTCTGCTTGCATATTAGAAATATATGTTAAATGGAAAGAGAAAAATTTCATAAGTTGACTTAAGGAAAAAAAAAACACCTATAAAGCTTATGTGCTATTCATCTAAGAGAACTTATTAAAGACTCAATGTTCTACTTGCAAAAGTAACAAGTAGAATCCATAATCCAGTGACTGAGTTTCATAGTCACTGATAAGGACAATATATTTGAAATTCTAAAATATTTCCTTCATGTTATGAATTTTATAGATGATTCTATGTGACTTATTTGCACCAGGCTTTTCCATTACTTACATTTGCAGTACTTATATAAATGTAATTTTACATAACTTTGAATATATTAGTTAAAACCAAAAGCTTTTCCTGTATTTTTCAGTTGTAATTTACCTATCTGGTATGCATCCTTATCACATGCTTATGTAGGGATGTGGGCCAATTGAAGGTTTTCCCACAATGCTTACACTCAAGTAGTTTCTCTCCAGTGTGAATTCTTTCATGGCTTCGATATGAACTAGGTCGACTAAAGGCTTTCCCACATTCATTACATTTATAAGGTTTCTCTCCAGTATGCACTCTCATGTGTCCTCGAAAGGTTGTTCGATAGATGAAGGCTTTTCCACATTCCTTACATTCATAGGGTTTCTCTCCAGTATGAGTTCTTTCGTGTACTTGAACATAACTGGAACAACTAAAGGCTTTACTGCATATCTTACATTCATAGGGTTTCTCTCCTGTGTGAGTTCTTTCATGTATTCGAAAAGAGCTGGGGCAATTAAATGCTTTCCCACATTCCTTACATTTATAAGGTCCATCTCCAGTGTGTGTCATCATGTGTCTTCGAAAGCTTGTGAGAGAAATGAATGCTTTTCCACATTCCTTACATTCATAGGGTTTCTCTCCAGTGTGAGTTCTTCCATGTATTTGCAAACCTAGAGGAGAACTGAAGGTTTTAGCACATTGTTTACATTCATAAGGTTTCTCTGCAGTGTGAGTCCTTTCATGCCTTCGAAAGGATGTTGGACAACTGAGGGCTTTACCACATTGCTTACATATATAGGGTTTCTCTCCAGTGTGAGTTCTCACATGGACTTGAAAAGTGGTGAGCCAATGAAAGGCTTTTCCACATTCATTACATCTATAGGGTTTCTCTCCAGTATGAGTTCTTTCATGTGTTCGAAAGGAACTAGAACAACTGAAGGCTTTACCACATTGTTTACATTCATAGGGTTTTTCTCCAGTGTGAGATCTTTCATGTATTCGGTAAGAACTGGGACAATTGAATGCTTTCCCACATTCCTTACATTTGTAAGGTCCAACTCCAGTGTGCGTAATCATGTGTCTTTGAAAGCTTCCAAGAGAAATGAAGGCTTTCCCACATTGCTTACAGTCATAGGGTTTCTCTCCAGTATGAGTTCTCTCATGTTTTCGAAGAGAACTGGGACAACTGAATGCTTTACTACACTTTTTACATTCATAAGGTTTTTCTCCAGTATGTGTCCTTTCATGACTTCGAAAAGAACTAGGACAGCTGAGGGCTTTCCCACATTGCTTACATTCATACGGTTTCTCTCCTGTGTGAGTCCTTTCATGTGTCTGAAAGGTTTGATGATATCTAAAGGCTTTTCCACATTGTTTACACTGATAGGGTTTTTCTCCAGTGTGAGTCCTTTCGTGTTTGCGAACAGACTGACGATATCGAAAGGATTTCCCACATTCCTTACATTTATAGGATTTCTCTATACTGTGGTTTCTTTCATGTTTTTGAAAAGGCTGGAGATAACTGAATGCTTTCCCACATTCCTTGCACTTGTAAGGCTTCTTTCTACATCCCTGATACTTATGTGGTTTGTGTGCTTTGTGAGATCTCATGTGCTTTTTAAGGGATGAATTACTCATGAAGGCTTTCCCACACTCATTGCACTTCCATGGTTTTACTTCAGTAGAGGTTTTCTTGTTAAGATTAAGACTGAAGTTTCCTTCTTGTTGATTACCTTTATTTCCTTCACATAGTCTTTCTGTCACATGACTTCTGAAAAAATAAAGGGTACATAATCAATGATTTCTTCAGTAAATAACACAATTACATTTTACCATTATATACAGAAAGTATAGATTTTCTGCCTGTTTAAATTGTTGAAAAGTAAATATACTGAATGCTTTGCAACAGGGCTTGATTTGTATAGCTTTTATTAAAGTAGTGATGTTCATATATAGTTTCTGAATACTGTTTCCAAGTGACCTATTTTACAAACTCTGAATAGATGTCACATAAAACTTTCTTTGTTGGTGAAAATTTTCTTAAGGAAATTGATAATGAAAAATTCGTAAGGAAAAATATACTTGAAGCCAGCCTGTTTTTAATCTGTTTGATACACAAAGATTTCCTAATAGGACACTGCTTTCTTTTGTTGAGTGCATCTTACCTTAGGTTTCTTCCTTGGTTGCTGTACTGATTTTCAGTGTTATGGTCATCCTTTTTCCCCCCTAAAATGCAGACCCAAAATAATCAGTAAGTTACAGAAGAATTATTATATTATAAGTTCATAATGAGCCTTGACCATGTCTAATTTTCCAAGTATTTCCAAGCACAATGTTGGTGGGTAAGAAACACTTGCTCTCTAATGGACAGAGGGAAGGAATGTCATTATCCTTACCTATTGCGGCCAGGTTCCTCAAGGTTTCCCGCATCACATCTCTGTACAGTTTCTTCTGTGAAGGATCTAGCAAGGCCCATTCTTCTGGGGTGAAGTTCACAGCCACATCCTCAAAGATCACTGAGTCCTAAAACATCACACATATGTGTACAGGAAAATGAATGAGACTGACAGTACAGAAAACCTATCATCAATTAATAAGATCACACACACATTTGCTATCTCAAAACTTAATCTATGACTTGAACCCTTATTTTCTGCTCATAATCACTTCCTCATAAATTTAATAGAATCATGAATATATGGAAATTATCTTTTCACTTTTACTATGATTGTTTCAAATATTGTTGCTCTTTAGTGGCAGAACTCGGAGTATACTGGAGAAATGACAGAAATGCTATACAAATGAAAAAAAATACTTTCATTTTAAGACATTCAATTCCTGGTGAGAAAAACCCATATCTTTCCTTATTACTCACCAGGTCACACAGTACTCCATGAAGTACTCCATGAAGGGTCAAATGTGGATGAAGTTTTAATAAATAAAAAACACTAAAGTGGAAGCCTTTTCTTCTGTTCCCATCTCTGAACAGGAGAGGTGAGGTTGTGTGTGGAAATCCAACAAACAAATGGGACATAGCTGGTCATATTGTAAGGTTTCCCCTGAAGTATTGTGGGCCATTAGAAGTAGTCAGATGCAGCTGGCTGAATGGAATACTTTTATGGATAATATTCATTTTAATTTATTTATTAACTTTTAGCTATAAAAAGATTTGTCAGATCTAGCTTTTCTGTCTCATATTATGGGTCTAGCAAGTTAATAAAAAATTAGAGCTCAGACATGAGGAAGAAGGTATGACTAAATTTAGACCACCACAAAAATCCCCACACTCATGATCTCAGGCCTGTTTCTCACCAATTTTTAGTATATACATGCACAACAACTGAAATGATACGCAGAGGAGATAGAGAATGCTAACTAGCTAAAGTGCTAGAGGAGCATTCTGGCAGGACCCGAATAATCTATGCTGAATCTTGCTGACTTTGAAGAATGGGGCAAGAGTTGCAGTTTGCAAGAAAGTTCACTGAAAGTCACAATGGTTTCCGGTGAATGTGTCTATCATCATAAAATATACAAAGTAGCAAGTTCTTCTAAAAACATAAACCTTTCCTTCTTCAATTTCAGGAGGCACTTGCTTTCAACCAGCCACTATAGAGACTGCCCTCACACCTCTCTCATGATGTACACAGAAAAATGACAGCACTGGGTATAGGAATTCCTCAGTCACGCAGTTATACTAAATGATGGTTTCTGAAAACAACAATAAAATAAAAACAAAAAACAACCCACCAAAAAACTATTAAACTAATGACATCTACATGCAAGGGAGAGAGGAAAGGTTCCTACACAGTAATTTTGATGGTAGCATTTACCCTTCTGATTAAGGAACAGGATCAGAAAATCCTACTTGGTGTGCCTACAGAGTAAAATGAGCTGCAGCACTTGGTTATAACTAAGTCCCACAACCTAGTTTGCAGTAAAGAGTTAACATAAACAGGTCTGAAACTACTGATCCTCAAGAAATGCTTGTTTAAAATTTTTGTCCTTTGCTGGTACCTGGGAACTGGAATTAGTGAGAGTCCCCCCACCAACCTAACAGATAAGAGTTGCTCAGTACACAAACCTGTTTATGAAAACAACAGGGTACATCCCAAACTCCTGTTTTCATTCATGTGGTTACCCCAGGCCACTGGGCATCAAATCTTTTATGAGCTTTCCTGAAAGACAGTATATTTTATTTTTATTTTTTAAAAAATTTATTTTATATACTTTTTACATCATTCTTCATTTTCGTACACTGTATGCTTTCTTATCTCGGTTAAAGTCCTTGTGAAATTCTCACCACCAATTCACCCGTGTATCATCACCATAGTCCACTGTGCTCTTCCCACCCCTGTTTTGATCTTATTCCCTTCTCTCCCCCTGCAGGATGTCTCTGGTTTCTAGCTGCCTGCTGATTTTGATTTTTACTTTATTATAATTATGTCCCCCCCACATCCCTTATTTGGACCTTCTACATCCCTCCTATAACTGAAACCATCCATCAGTTTTCTTTTTCCTGAAAGAAAGTATTCTACATTTGTTGTTACAGCTTGCTGCTTTGGGAGTTAAGTACATTATATGTGATTGCACTAGGAGGAAACATCTGGGAGCTTGCATCTGGTTTCCTCTGGACCACATTTAATGAAGTATTAAGCACATCTATGTACTAAGTACTAAGCACATCATTTAATGGAAAAATCTTTCAATCCTTATTGGATGATATAAAAGAGAATAAAACAAAAAAGACAGCACATGGTCTTAGAAAGAACTCAAGATAACTAGCTCTCCCCAAATTATATCTTTATGAAATTCTACATATCCCCAGAATACTTTGTAGGAGTCAAAAACCCAAAAACTAAAAAATAACATAGTTCACCAGATGTAGTAAGAGGGAAAATATATTTAAAAAATGGCCAGTCTTTTGAAGTACAAAATGACAACTTGCATAATATACATCAAAGATCTTCAAACTAGGATCTTTGTCAATTGATCAACATGGTGGCAAAGAAATACTACGAGTAAATTCTCCCATAAAAAAAATTAATAGAAAAAGCAGCAGGTCCCTGTGAGAACTGGGACATGTAAGATAAACCGGCTATGCTGGCAAGCTTCCTGAAGAGGAAAGTTACAGTAACAGAGGATGAGAAGAAAGGAAAGCATCAGAACCCTGCTACCCTCCCTCACCCACAAAGCCAGCACACTGTGACCAACGGAAGGGAGAAAAAAAAACAAGAACAAACTAGAGATCAAGCAGGATAATGAGTGGAAAGGAACTACTGCAGGCACTATGCCCCGTGACCAGGAACTGTGGGGAACCATGCGGGAACTGCCACATAGGTGAGCAAACAGCACAGTGTGTAATTGCAAACTTGGTGCCATTAGAGGAAGATAGGGAATCCACTGAGAGACTTGCAAATAGCCAAAGGCCAGCCAATAAGCTTGCATGGAAAAGCGGGTGTGCTCAAAAAGCTTACGTGGTTGACGGCTGCCCAGGTTCTGGCACCCAAGACCTAGGATTGTGGGGAGACATGCAGGAGCAGTCACTGAAGTGAATGACCCTCACTGGGTGATCAAAAACCAGGTGTGGGCCTCCCTGGTGGCGCAGCGGTTGAGCGCTGGGGTTGCGAAGCTGCCCGCAGCCTCTGTTGTGCTGGTTCAATCCCCGGCCACCAGGCGAGGTTCCCACATGGCACGCAGACCTCTCCTGTCACCCGCTTCTCCCCTCAGCAGAGTACTTTGTCACTCTGCTTGTTCTGCTCTCCGCTCTGGCTCTGGTGAATTCTCTCACCCTCCCCGCTTCTAACTGTACCCCAGTGCTTGCATAACTAACTAACTAACTAACTAACTAACTAACTAACTAAATAAATAAATCTTTAAAAACAAACAAACAAACAAAAAAAACCCAAAAACCAAAAACCAGGTGCCTGGGCATGAGATGGGGTGTAAAAGGCATCACATCTGAGGGCACTTAACTAGGCTACCGCCAGCATTCTGTATCTGAGAGCTTCGGAACTGAGAACTGGGGCACGAAATTTGGGGCATGGGATCCCCATAAAGGTGGGGCACAGGGCAGACACACCACTGAGGCACTCCATACCACCCCTTCCACCTTTGTTTCCTGGAGACCTATGGGGCAGGGGAAGGGGAGAACACAGTTCTGGAAGGATACTAGGGAAGTTTTCTAGAATCACCTAGTGATTAGAACAAAATAACCAAATACCTGATAGTTGGATGCCAGGGATTCCAAAACCACACTCAGGCTCTGAGAGGGTGTGGGCCACGTAAACAGGGGTGAGAAGGAAATGGTGCATGCAGCAAGACTACTGAAGATAGCACACAACAGCCCGCATTCTGGAACTCAGAGCTGGGCACAGGATCTGGGGCATGGGATACACCATAGCAGTGGGCACCCAACAGGGTGACAGCCAGAGCTTTGGATCTGAGAGTCCTGGAACTGAGAACTAGGGCACAAGAATTCAGGGTGCGGAATCTGCACAGCTGCAGGCACAACACTGGGTGAACACGGGGCAGACATACTGCACCCAGCATGAGCAATAGCCCCTGTGTTGAGGTTCTCCCCTCCCACCTCCATTTCCCAGGGAACTACTGGGAAAAGGTATAGGTCAGAAAGTACTGGTCTTTGGTGCCATCTAGTAACCAGAACAAAATCACCAACTAGCTGACAGCTCGAAGGCAGGGACTCCAAGACTTCCTTCTGAAACTGAGTAAATATAGAGGGAGGGAACCATAAGGGACAGTGTCCAACATTACAGCCACAGCATCACCACCCTGGTGGAGTTTTGGCCTAGCAGTACTGGACTTGGTCTGGTAAACAGTTTCTGACACCCCTGAAGGAGCACACCAAAGAGATGCTTGCCAACACCAGTGGCACAACATCCCAATGCATAGGACTAATTAGAAAGCAAACAGCAGGGTGAAGGAAAAATATAAATCATCAGGCAAGCCTGCAGGAGAAGGACACATCACAAAAAGAGTATCAGTCACCATAACTCAACAGCAATGACATGGAAGAACTTCTCTGTCAGATAGAGAATTTAGAAGAATAATGATGATTAAAAAGCATAAAGAAAAGGAAAAGGAAAAATACGATATGAGACAAATAATCAATGAACTGAGAAATGAAAAAGAGACCTTAAGGAAATAAAAGAAATGAAGGAGATAGAGATTATTGGAGGAGCTAAAGAACTCTGGGAAAAGCAATGAAAACAGAATCGATAAAATGGAAAAATGGATCTGTATTCTCAAAGATAGATAAGAAATAAAAAAACCCGAAAGAGAAAAGGAGAGAGAAGTACAAAGGAAAATAATGAGGAAACTCTTCAACAATTATCAGACTCCATGAAGAAAGGAAATATTCCAGAAGGTGAGGAGAGAGACTAAGGAACTGAGAAATTATTCAAGGAGAGAACTTCCAAGCATGAAAAGGGAGATGAATATAGACATACAAAAGGTGAGAAGAACACCCAATTACCACAGTGAAAAGAAAACTACAGCAAGACACATAATAGTAAAGCTTGCAAGAGTCCAAGACAAGGAAGAAATAATGAAACTGGCAAGGGGGAAGAAAGAGATAACTTATAAGGGAAAACCAGTAAGGTTGAGATCAGACCTCTCCAAAGAAACTCCAGAGAATGGAGTAACATATTCAACAAACTTCAAGACAGAGAATGCCAACCAAGAATACGTAATCCTGCAAAGCTCTCCTTACTGTATGAGGACAAAATAAGGACCTTCTCAGACAAATACACTCCAGAAATTCATTACAACTAAACCCCGACTACAAGAAGTCCTAAAGCCAAAACCAAGAGAGGAATGAAGAACAACAGAATAAAGCAAGGAATAAAATCACAAAAAGACAGACAAAATGGCAAATACAGCTGCTAACGTATCAACATTAACTATAAATGTAAATGGACTACACTCATCAATAAAAAGACACACAGTAGCAGGCTGACCTAAAAAACAAACTCCAACCTTGTGCTGTCTTCAGGAAACATATTTAACTATAAAAGATAAGCACAGACTAAAAGCAAAAGGTTGGAAAACAGTCCTACAAGCAAACGGACCAAAAAAGAAGGCAGGAACAGCTATACTTATATCAGATGAAATAGACTTCAAATTAAAAAAGGTAAAAAGAGATGTAGATGGACACTACATTATACATCAGGAAGATATAACATCAACTTACATTCACCAAATGAAGGAGCACCAAAATATATTAAACAATTATTATCGGCTCTGAAAACTGACATAAAAGAAAATGCATATGTAGTAGGAGACTTCAACACCCCACTCTCACCAATGGACAGATCAATGAGACATAAAATAAAGACATAGAACTCATGAGCTTAACAGACATCTAAAGGACACTGCACCCCCCAAAATCTATTACACATTTTTCTCAAGCATGCATGGATCATTTTCCAGAATCAAGCACATACTGGTCCACAAGATAAACATCAACAAATACATTAAGGGGCCTCCCTGGTGGCACAAGGGTTAAGACGCAACCTATGAAGCAATCCACAGCAACTGCAGCACGAGTTCATTTCCCGGCCGTCCAGGGAGCAACCCACATGGCACAGCAGACCTCTCCTGACTTGTCCGCTGCTCCCCTCAGCAGTGTACTTCAGTCAATCTTCCTGGTCTGTTCCCCACTCTGTCTCTGGTGAATCTTCTCACCCCTTGCATCTCTGGCCTGTACCCCAGCACCTGTATGCATAAATAAATAAATCTTTAAAAACAAACAAAAAAAAAAAAAACCCCAAATACATTAAGGTCAAAATTATTCCAACTATCTTCTCTGATCATAAAGGTATCAAACTAGAAATAAATCATGAAAAGAAAACAAGGACCCCTCCCACTTCATGATGATTGAAATTCACACAACTGGAAGACCACTGGACTAATGAGGAGAGCAAAGAAGAAATTAAAAAATACTGAGTTGAATGACATTGAGGACACCAATTTTTAAAACGTATGGGACACAGCAAATGCAGTAATAAGAGGAAAATATATAGCAATACAGGCTCACACCAAGAAACAAGAAGAACTCAAAGAAACAACCTAATCTCACATATCAAAGGACAAGAAAACAAAAAACAAAAAACCCCTAAAACCAGTAGAAGAAATGAAATAATAAAAAATCAAAGCAGAAATAAATGAAATAGGAATTAGAAAAACAATCCAGAAGATGAATGAAACCAAAAGTTGGTTCTTTGGAAAAATAAATAGACAAACCTCTAGCCAGGCTCACAAAGAAAAAATGGGAGAAAACACATATAAATAGGATCAAAAACAAAAGAGGAGAAATCACAACAGACTGTTGAAATCAAAAGAATAATCCGAGATTACAATGAACACTTATATGCAAATAAATTCAACAATCTAGAAGAGATGGACAAGTTCATAGAATGATATAATCATCCAAAGCTACATAGAGAAAAAATAGAACACCTAAACAGACCAATTACAAGCAGCAAAATTGAAGCAGTAATCAACACACCCCCCAAAAACAAAAGCACAGGCTCAGACGGCTTCACAAATGAATTCTACCAAATTTTCAGAAATAAATTACAATAAATTTTCACAAACTCTTTCAAAAAAATTGAAAAAGAAGGAATACTACCAAATACATTGTACACAATCAACATTACACTAAATTTAAAACCAAAGACAACTCAAAAAAAGAAAATTACAGGCCAAACTCCCTAATGAACACTGATGCAAAAGTCCTCAAAAAAATCCTTGCCAATAGACTCCAACAATGCATCAAAGTGATAATACACCATGATCAAGTGGGATTTTTCCAGGGGCACAAGGATGGTTCAACATATGAAAATCGATCAGTATAATCCAACACATCAAAAAAAGAAAAATAAAAACCATATGATCATATCAATACCTGCTGAGAAAGCATTTGACAAAGTACAACATCCATTTATGGTGAAGGCCCTTGAAATTCTTGGGATAGAAAGAACATACCTCAACATACCTTAACATGATAAAAGCCAACTATGACAAACCCACAGCCAATATTATTCTCAATGGTGAAAAGCTGAAGGCTTTTCGTTTAAGATCAGGAACAAGACAAGGAAGTCCTCACTTACCACTGCTCTTCAATATAATACTAGAGGTACTAGCCAGAGCAATAACACAAGAGAAAGACATACAAGGAATCCAAAAGGGAAAGAAGAAGTAAAACTATCACTATTTGCAGACGGTATGATAATATTCATTAAAAACCCTAAGAACTCCACAGAAAAACTAATCAAAATAATCAGTTTGTAAAGTAGCAGGATACAAAATCAGCACACAAAAATCAGTAGCCTTCTTATATACCAACAATCAATCTGAAGAAGAAGAAGTCAAGAAAAGCATCCTTTTTATTATTGAAACAAAAAAAATCAAATACTTGGGACTAAACCTAACAAAAGATAAAGGACCTATACAAAGAAAATTATAAAACACTGTTAAAAGAAACAGAAGAAGACACAAAGAAATGGACAGACATCCCCTGCTCATGCATTGGAAGAATTAACATTATTAAAATGACCATCCTACCAAAGATATTTACAGATTCAATGCTATTCTGATAAAAATCTCAATGATATTCTTCAAAGAAACAGAAAAAATACTGATGAAATTCCTATGGAATCACAAAAAACCGTGAATAGCCAAAGTTTTACCAGTGAAAACAAAGGAAATCACACATCTAAACTTCAAACTATACTACAAAGCCATAATAATTAAAACAATACAGTACTGGAACAAAAACAGACACAGATCTATGGCACTGAATAGAAAGCCTAGAAATAAAGCCACACATATATGGACACTAATCTTTGACAAGTGAGCAAAGAATATGCAATGGAACAAGGACAGTTTATTCATTAAATGGTGCTGGGAAAACTGGACCACCACATGGAAATGAATGAAACCAGACCACTACCTCTCACCAGGCACAAAAATCAACTCAAAATGGATAAAAGAACTGGATGTAAGACCTGAAAGCATAAAATATATAGAAGAAAATACAGGTAAAACACTAGAAAACACATCTCAGTAACATCTTTAAAGACTTATCACCCAAAGCGAAGAAAGTGAAGGAAAAGGTAAACAGCTGGGATTACATCATACTGAAAGCTTCTGCACAGCAAAAGAGACATGAACCAAAACAAAGTGACACCCCATTCAACTGAAAAGGGACTAATCACAAAGATACACAAAGAACTCTCAAGACTCAACAAAAACCAAATAAACAATCCAGCCAAGAAATGGGCAGAACTTGAAAGACACTTCTTCAAAGAGGAAATGCAAATGGCCAACAGGCATATGAAAAAATGTTCAACATCCCCTATAATTAGGGAAATGCAAATCAAAACCACCTTACACCAGTGAGATATCCCCTTACACCAGTAAGAATGGCACATATCAAAAAAACTAACAATGACAAATGTTGGTGAGGATGTGATGAAAAAAGGAACTCTCCTACATTGCTGGTGGAAGTGGAAACTGGTCCAAACCACTATGGAAAGCTGGCTGGAGGTTCCTCAGAACACTAAAAATGGAGCTACCATATGATTCAGCAATTCCACTCGTAGAGATCTACTCAAAGGACATAGAAAGATTGATTCAAAAGAACACCTGTACCCCTATGTTTATTGTAGCACTATTTATAATAGGTGAAACCTGGAAACCACCCAAATGCCCAAAAACAGATGACTGGATCAAGAAGCTGTGGTATATACACACAATTGAATACTCTTCAGCAATTAAAAAAGATAAATTCATGCCATTCGCAGCAACATGGATGGAGCTAGAAGGAATTATGTTTGTATAATTACACTCTAGTGAAATAAGTCAGAAGGAAAAAGAAAAATATTGAATGGTTTCACTTATAGGAGGAATATAGGGGAACCAAATAAGACTTCAGGGAAAAAAATAACAATACACAACACAATACAACAAAAACAGACAATTTTAAACCAGAGACATCCTGCAGGGGAGGAGGAAAGAGAGGGATCAGAGGGAGGGAGGGAGCAGCGCAGGTGACTGTGGTGATGGTGTGCATAGGTGCATTGGTGAATGAAATTCTATGGAGACTACAGCTGATGGGAGGGGGAAGCAAACATTGTTTAAAAACGAACAATGATGTAAAAAATATATAAATAAAAAGAATTAAATAAAAAAGATGAGCAGATCTTGATTATCATGGGCATATTTTAGTGAATACAGGGAGATGATTCAATATAGTAAAGCAACGTAAGGATACTGAACATAAGGAAAAATAAAATGGGAAAAAAGATTTTCAAGTTATAGTATTCCAGAGAAAGGAAAAAAAAGCTTAAGGGAATGGAAAAGTGTCTTTTTTGGTCCTGCATTTAGGGTGGAAAGCTATTACCACATCTAGGATAAAATGTAAACACAAAAAACTTTCCCTCAAAAGTTAAAAGAAAGGAAGCCTGGTCAAGGACAGAGTGCAACAGTCAAGGGCAACACAATATCAACAGCAAATATCATGAACACTTTATACATGGGGTAAAGACAAATTCTTATTTAATTGAGAAAATGCACTGTATTTCTCTCTAAACCATGAACAATAGCCAATTCATCGTATACTGAAATAGGAAAGATAAAGGTAGGTCACTTTTAGAAGTCATAGGCAAATGCTTCATGATACACAAATAAGGAGAATTTTCTCATGTAAGAGAAAATAGTCCTAAAGCAAGAGAATGATCGACTCAAATATTAATTTAAAAAGGAATATAATATATATATGCTGTATTAAGGGATTAGTGTATGACTAAATACATAGTTTGAAAATGGGAAACTCATGCAACACCGTGTAGGTTTGTATAATTACACTCTAGTATGTTCATACAACAAAACTGCCCATCAATACATTTTTCAGGGTGTTTTCCAACATCATTAAGTGATGCATGACTGCAACCAAAATATATTTAATAGAAGATGAAAGACCAGAGATGAAAAAAATGTCCACTTCCATGTTGACTGCCAAACATTATACTTCACACTGGTTAGGAGAAAAATCAGTCAGTTTAATAATCCCAAGTATTGATGACCTTATTCAACAAATTATGCATGAATGGAGAAAGCATCAACTAATACAGTCCATTGTCATTCCTGAAATTTGACCTTGATCATAATCAATCTAGCAAATTACTATTCTAGTAATTTTCTCCAATAGCCAGAGAATAGCTGTAGAGAATATACTAGGCAAAATGACAGAAGAATGGTAGGAATTGTATTTTTAAGAGTAAAAAGTTAAACTAGATAAAGCCCATAACCAATGGAATGGACAAGTAACTTAGTTGGCTCACAGGAGCAAAGAGCCAACCAAAAAATATCCTGAATATAATTTCATTACTATTCATTTATTGAAAAAACACCAGCGCAGGCAAAACTGAAAGAACACTGCTTAGTGAAAAGAAGAGATGGTAAAGGTATGAAGAATAACCAAAGAAACAAGACCAGTTCTCCATGGGATAGAACAGGGATGGGAACACCAGGAGACTAACAACTAACTGCCCAAGGCCTAGTTAGGAATCTTCATGTTACAAAGATATTTATATTCTTATTACTAAATTCTTTCAAAAAATATTGCATAATTCTCTTCTGATAATAAAAATGTTAATAATAAAATGTTTATAAATTAAGATTGGAGACTGTAAATTTATGATTTTTTTGGC